AGCACAAACCAGTGTAAAAGGGCCTGAGGCAGCTGATGAAGTGGAAGAAGGATGACACAGAAATTTCAGACTCCAGAAGGAGAGAATGTTAGTCATCTGATAATTCACTTGAAGTTTGTTATGGAAAAATGTCCAGGTGTGCTGAGTGGTGTAGACAGCATTGAGAGTGATTTCTCCACTTACATTTGTAATAAGAATGAGAAACAGATCAAGGTTGGCTCTTTTATCAGAATGATTAAACCCTGAGAAAACAGTAAATGTATTCATTTTGTATGATACTGTATATATGATTTTACTGTGTTTTGATTATGTATGATTTTGTATGATAGTCTGTAATCAAAGCTGTGCAAGAAAGTAAAGTACATGTGTCAGTGCAGAATGCCCAGCTCCTTATTTTGACCATCTTCATATGTTGATCAGTTTGGTACAGTCCCTTGGGTAGTCAACAGAGGTTCTACTGTATATGCAAGTGATGTAGTTGAGAAGAAATCATTACAATGAGCAAATAGTCATTAACTACCTACTATGTAGTTAGGGAATTAAGAAATACCAGAGAATTAAGAAATACCACATCAAGTGTGTGTGTGTGTAATCTTAAGTATTGTTTATTTATACATGTATTCTCAGCTTTTCAGCATCAAGGAACAAACTTGCTAACCAGTGGGATTCATATACAGTAAATACTTCCTTAATGTTGTGGAGAGGTTCTTGGAAACTATGAAACCAGTTTTACCATAGGCTAATTGATATTAACAAGAGTTAATTTCCAATAGCCTATTTTTTGGTCACAAATAGGTCACCAAACTTCTAAAGACCAAAATACTTCCATTAATATTAAACACTGAAATAAATGTGAGCCATATATACATTTAAGAAAGATTAATAAAAACAAATAAGATTTACTCAATTCAGGGTACAAGGTGAGAACCAGCCCTGGACAGGATGCCATCCCCCCACAATGGCCCACTAATACACAGCCATATTTGCTCAGACTGGGACAATTTAGATACAACAGCTCACTTAACATGCACATCTCTGGGATGTGGGAGGAAAGCAGAATGCCTAGAGACAACCCACAAAGACATGAACATGTGCACACTCCACAGAGAAAGTGGCATGGTGTCTCTGGCTGGGAACAATTTTTTCCCCCCATCATTATCATAACTGAACACCATTGAGAAAAATAATGTTGTTATTCAAGGAACTGCTGTAGTTCTAACAAGATAGAAATATCTGTAGCCTTAAAAAAAAATGATGCCATGTATTAACAGGCACTTAGTTTCTTCTTCATTGATTAACTCTTTCTAATCCTATACCTCTTATTAACTTTATTTCTATTGCTTTAGCTAGGAATGCTGGTACAAAGTTGAATAAGAGGGCAGATAATCAGAATCATTGTGTTCTTTCAGATTTTCATGGAATGCTTTTAAAGTTTCATCATCAAATATTGCTAAAATTTTTGATAAACTCCTTTAGCAGAATAAGAATGTTTCTTTTTATTGTTAGAGTGTTTTTAGGGGTTTTGTTTTGTTTTTTGAGACAGTGTCTTACTACCTCAGTAGAGTGCTATGGTGTCATAGCTCACAGCAAGTGACACCATGGCACTCAGACTCTTGGGCTTATGTGATTCTCTTGCCTCAGCCTCCCAAGTGGCTGGGACTACAGGCGCCCACCACAATCCCTGGCTATTTTGTTGTTGTTGTTGTTGTTGTCATCACAAGCCCAAGTTGAGTTCAAACCTGCCAGCCCTGGTGTATGTGGCTAGAGCCCTAACCACTGAGATATGGGTGCCGAGCCAGAGTTTTTGTTTTTCAATCATGACTAAGTGCTGAATTCCACCAAAATTTTTATTTTTTAAACTTCTAAGATGAACATTTACTTTTTTCTTTTTATCTTTTTGTTTCTTAAATATATTGAGTAGATTTTTTTTCCTGAATTCTTGGTCAAAATCTATTCTTAGAATTCATAGATTCTCTTGGCTAATATTTTATTTAGGATTTTAGCATCTTTGTTCATAGATTGGTCTATAATTTTCATATACCTTAGTTTACTTTAATATTTCTTTGTCTCTTTGTATAGCAAAGTAATATTCGTCTTATAGAATTATTTGGGAGAGTTGTTTGTCCTTTTCTTTTTTATGAACTATAATAATGTGAATTATACATATTGTCTAGTTCTTAATATATGGGTAAAATTTTCCAGTTAATTTTGTGCCTATATTCCCTTTCAATTTTTTTTTTTTTTGGAGAAAATAACTGAGTTCTATTTCAATTCTGAAAATTTCTTTGGTTTTCTAACTTAGGTTAGTTTTATCTATTTCATCTCAACTTTAAATTTATAGGTAACAAGGTCATCAAAGATGGGAGACCCAGGAGTGTGGAACTGCACCTCTGCCAAATGCTACACTTTTTTTTTTTTTAAACCATAAAGAGTAGCAAATAACAAAAGGTAGACAAAGAAATGGAGCTTTATTATGAAGATTATAGTTCTAGTGCTTTGTGTTATAGAAAGTTTCAACTTAATCTTCTATAAATATGTTTCTCCATAGGCACTCATTTATCTTTCTTATACATTTTAGGAGTCATTTTATTCTTTACTGCCACACACATGTAGTTAAAGAACTGTTTATTGAAGTAGTAAATATTTTTTTATTTTATTAAATCTTTACTTTTAAATATATGTCTTTTTAATATTCTTCAAGAAAAAATGTAAGGAATGCAGAAAACTTCCTGCAGTCTTTAGAAGGTTGATGGTGGTTTTAAGGAAGAGCCCTTGCTCAGTTGTTTTAGCTGAAAGCTGAATTAGGCACCTTTCTATAGTACATCATTTTTATTTGAATGATTGACCAAATATAGTTATTCAGACATGAATATTTGATGTATTTGTCACAAGTAATGAATTTTGAACTTCAAACTAAAACAAAGTTGGAAAATTATGACCTCAACTGCTGCCCAATAAAGAACTTATTTTGCTAAGATTGGTGGTAATATTAATGAATGTGATTTTTCCATATTGTATAATGAAATGTTTCAGTTTTTGAGAGATATAGACAACTCAACAAAATGTTATTTTCCAAATACCCAGTGCATTCAGGAAATTCCAGAAAGCAACAGAAATATCAGGGTAGGTAGTGAGGAAATCTATGAGCAATATTAAGCTAATATTAAGGAAGTCAAGCAAACACTAACATAGTTTGGTTGAAGAAACCAAAAGTAAGACGGGAGATACGAAGGTTGAGTGACATAAACTGTGACATAGGTAGGAAGAGCTGAGGTCTAGGGGAGCACCCCATCTTAGAAAACACATGTATCTGATCTGATTAGAACTGGAGTAAGAGATGAGAAACAGAATTTGAGAGGAAAACAGAAGACTACCATGCCTTATCAATCTGTAAGTTCTACTGCAGTCATATGAATATTAATGCCAGAATCTTACTGTTTGTTGTCCTGACTTGTTGACTCAGAACTTAATCCACTGAAGCGTCCCTCCAGGTATTTCTCAATATGTGGGCATCTTAAATGTGCTTAGCAATAAATTTGTTTTCATGTTTGTTGTACTGTCTCCCAGGAACACCTTGTCTTTGCTCCTTCTGCTTGCTTGAGTAGTTCTGCAGTTGCTCCCTGGCGTCCTCAAAGTAGTAAACCCCTGGGGTGTGCTGCCCAAAATTCTTTAGACCCCATATGTGACAGAGTTCAGAAAATAAGAGTTTTAAGTTTATTTATACAGTTCCCTCTCTTCCTAAAACCCATGCTAGTTGGTGTTGAGTGGGGATAGATTTGAGTTGGCAGCCAACAAACATGCTGTATTCAAATCTCTTCACAGACCACCATCTTGTTAATAGATTGATTTGCCATGTTTGACCCCTGCTTGTAGCATAAATTTTCTGACAGACACCACTTTAGTTGTCCTATAAAATGATCACTGTTGGATAGCCTGCAGTTTTCCTTTCAAGTTCAAATATTTATAAACAGTTATATTTCTCCTCAATAGGCTTCTCACCATCACTGCAAAAGTACTTCTATTTGTTTTGTCTCACTAGTTGGCCAGACATACTTAACACTTAGTATCGAAAGAAGACTGGTGAGCTGAGCTCTCTGCCGTATCTTGTTCACTTGATTTCAACAAACATTTGTGGAGAGCCTTTTTTGCTGCCAGGTACCATGTTTTTTGATTGTAAGAATAGAATTATATAAAGAGTAATGCTTTTCAGGAGTTCACAGTTACATCTTTAAGACACAACATTCAATGCCTATAATGTCCAAATAACATTGCCTTTCTTTATAATGGATAATTATCAGACAAGTTATTAAATATACTGTACTGTTTTGGAATTCTTACATATTAGTGTGAGACTACTACTTTAAATTGGTCTAAATCGAAGTACTGACATAAAATCTCAGGTATAAAAATAGACTGAAAAATTTCTGGGGTGATCCTTGTTGAACATACATATCAGGAGATGTAAAATAGTTAAAACTGTTCCACTTAGTATAATATAAAGGAGAAATTATTGCATTCACAAGAAAGAAATTCGCCATCAACTTAAAGTAAACATTAGCAATTTTCACAGAATTAACTACAACTCAATAAATCTTATTATATTTAAAATTTAATCCTGTAGCTATTCAAAACATCCTACTTAGAAGCATATTTGTAAATCTTTGTCATAACTCTTTTGAAATCACTGTAGTAACTTAACTGAATTGACTATCCAGCCATTGCTTTTTACCACTTTTAGTGCAAGACGAATTGAAAGCAGTGGGCATGAAATGTTCTACAAAAAGAAATAAGCTTGTAGTCACTAACATAATGCATCATCCTCATAATTAAATGGAATTCTCAATTTCAGATGTAGCTTATAAAGTACCCCTAGCCTAAGACCTGGAAACTAGTAGGTACCTCAATAAATGATGGTTCTCTTACTTTAAGCTCCACTTGTAGCTAATGCTGTGTTAAGGATTTAGCAAATCAAGTTTATCTGACAGTTTAATATTCTAAAAATGCAGATGAAAAGAAGTAAAGAATTGATAACTAAAAATTATAATGAAGAGGAAGTAAGTAGTCTTCGCTGCTGGAAATGTAGAAAATGTATTGCAAGTTCTGGTTGTTTCATGGAATATCCTGAGAACCAAGTGATTAAGGTGAGTATTGTTAACTCCAATCTTGAAACAATTTCCTAGTATTAGAATGTATGGGTACACGCACACATGTGCATGTTTCCTACTTTACAGCCGATTAAACTTTTACCTCATTTTACCTGACTCACCTTCCATAGTTATGATTAATTATACATTTAGCTGCTAATGTTAAAGGCAGATTTTTAAGTATAATACCATAGTCATTATGTTTTACCCGTACCATGAATGTACCTTAATGACTACCACACTATTAAATTCAGGATTCTAGTAAGAAATAGAATGCTATGCTGTGGATGACTTATGTGCCCCCTAGATGCATATTTTGAAGTGGCAGTGTGACTATATCTGGGGATAGGGTCTTTAGGTTAAATGACATCATAAAGATGGGTCCCTACTCCAATAGGACTCTGGTTCTATTGAGGAAAAGAAAGGAAGAGAGAGAGAGAGAGAGAGAGAGATATCTTCTGAGAGAGTAGCTATCTACAAGCTGGTACCCCAATCTTAGACTTTCAGTATCCAGAATTGTGAGAAAATAAATTTCTGTTTAAGTCATTCAGAGTTTATAGCATTTTGTTTTGGCAGACCCAGCAGACTAAGAAACGACAGGTCCTATAATAAACACTGGAAATTCAAAGATGGGCAGAAGAAAGATGGTCTGTCCTTGTGAAGTTTTCAGGATTTATAATTTAATATTAATTTAATTTTATTTAATGTAATAATGTATCATATCACCATTATTAAATAATTAAATATTAAATTATTAATTAAATATTAAAATAATTAAGTATTTATAATATTGGCCAATAATAAAAATATTAGACATTGGCTAGTTATATAAATATAAATTATTAACTGTATAAGTGGCAAAAACGAAAAGTATAGGCAGCCATAAGAGTTAGGATATAGACAGGATACTGTAAGGAGCAGGTTTTTCTGAGGAAGCAACTTGTGTGAAGATGTGATGGACAAGTGAGGACACTATAGAAAAGAGAACATTTCGAGTTTCGGAACCACCATGTTTAAAGGCCTACTGCTGAGTGTACAGTATATGGGCAAAGGGCACCCTTACAACTTTGACTCAATCTGTATGAAAACAAAGTATGTAAATAAAACAAGTGTACCCCTAATATTTTGCAATAAAAAAATAATAAATGAAAAATAAATAAATTAAAAGCCTTGTAGTGGATCCACAGAGCTAAAAGAGATCATCGTGATCGGAGTTCAGAGATCAAGAAGGAGTTTTGCAAAATTTGGGGTTAGAAAGATAAGGAAAGTATTGATTAGATCATTTATGGCCTCATAGTCAAATTAAAGACAATGATCTTTATTCTAGGAGCTGAGAAGTCAATGAGAGGGAGTTACACAATCTCTGAATTTTAACAAGATCACTTTGGTATAAAGTTGAAATATTATACCTTCTCAAAGTACAACTAGAAAAAACAGGTAGTCTAATAAAATTTTAGTTTGTTTACAATTGTAACACATTAAACATTTAATTAATATTAAATATGTTTTTGTTATATAATCTTTCCTCTGTGGTGTTTATATCTTTAGTAATTAAATAATGTAGTTGGCTCACTCTTAAAGAATTAGCTAGGGGAATTTTATTGCTTACATTAGAAATACTAAGTGTTAAACATCTTTCAAAACATTATATAATAATATTAAATTGTTTAACTTTTTACTTTTAAAATGTTCCACTTAAAGATAATATAAAAAGAATATATTACATTTATAATTTTAAATATAGTGAAGAAAATATTTCCTATTCTTAAATAAGAAACAAAATAACAATGCATTAGCTCCCTCTGCTGCTTGAACAAATTATTTCACTTACAAGCATTTAGTCAACCTTTTTTTGATGGCATTATTCAAACTTGGCTGTTAATTATGTTTTCCTCTTTTCCTTTCTCCTTCCCCCATGTGATAAATTCGAGATACAGAAAAAAAAAACTATATATTAAGATTTTTGAATCCTACTATAACCATCATTTCTAATGTTTAGCTTAACTTTTCCCGGGAGCTAACCTGTTGTGCCAATACTTTAAAGGCTTTAAATTCCTCAAATCAGGTTGCTTTCAGTTTCATCATTCTTCTTAAAATATATCCATTAAAACTTGTTTTATCATATATATATGACCTTTAATTAAGCAAATTAAGAAGTTAGATACTTAAATATCCTAGTTGATATATCCTTTTTTACCTTAAAATTACATTGGAAAATAATATCACAAATGTCACACATATATTTATTTTTCTAAGACTGTGTTTATTTACATATAGATGGAGTTATTATTTATTCTGGCTGGCCTTGCCTCCCTCCCTCCTTCCCTCACTTTCCTCCTTCCTTCTCTCCCTCCCCGCCTTCCTTCCTTCCTCCCCCCCTTTTATTTTTTTGCCTGAGCTCTATCTCTGTTTTAGAAATGGAATATTACATAACCAACCCAGCCTTTTATGATCCTCCCCACTGTATAAGTTGCTGTAACTTATTTTCCTCTTTCTTATTGGCATGAAAGTATTCTTTAACTTCTAACTATTTATAGAAAAATATATGCTTAGTTCTCAAATGAAGGAGATTGGGTTGAGGGGTTGAATTGCAGAATTAGCTGTAGGACTTTTTTTCGCCCTAAACCTACTTCTCTCTACTGAGTGTATTATTTATGATTAATAGTAAGTTATGCATCAATTTTATTTTTGCATTTTGTAAGCTTAGGGAAGAATAGCATAGTGAAAGAATAAATGTTAAGGTATCCAACACAGTCTCTGACATATAATAAAGATGTCTCTTGGGTTTTGTGGTCAAGACTGTATATATTGTAATCAGTCAATAAATATGTAGTATTGATAGGTTGATTGCCATTAACTTACTTTGACATGAATATTCTTGTTCTTTACCAATGTAGAATTTCCTTCCTTCCTTCCTTCTTCCCTCCCTCTCTCCCTCCATTCCTCTATTCCTTCCTTGCTTCAGAATCTTAAGAAGTCAGAAAAATTTACAGATTTGATAATGAAAAGGTGATTTTTGTTAATTGCAGTTTGTACTCTCTATGAGAGTCTTGTAAGGAATTAGAGTTATACTAATCTGAATAACTGTCAGTTCCTAAAGGAAGGAATTGATGTGTGTGATTTGGATGTTTCACAAGATTAATTCTATTTTTCTGAGATCAGATGAGATCGGGTGCATTCAGGGTGGTATGGCCATAGACTAATTCTATTTTTCAAAAATCTTTTCCACACGTTTATTTTGTTTCAGAAGCAAAATATTTAGGTAAAGCTATATTCTTTATTATATTGAATCATTTGCAATAAATTTCTAATGTTCCTTTGAAAATAAATTTGTATAGTCATTTAAAATTTTTATATAGTTCCAAATTGTTGCAAATTAACATTTTTAAATGAAAAACTTCTGACAATACAAAAAGTAAAAACAAGCACACTGTTACCAGTGTACATTTTTGGCAGTCTTCAATATTTAGGAGAAAATATTTTAAAAATTAAAGGGCGTAGGGTAAAGGATAAAGAATAGAGTGAAAAATACAAAGTAGGGACCTTTCAATCACCCAGCATTTATTAAGTACCTTTTATATTTTAGGCACTGTCTCATGACCTAAGGTTACAAAAAAGACTTAAGCACATGCTCCATGGAACTTACCAAGATTTGGACTTGGGAATTAAAACAAAAAAGCCCTCTACTATTTGGATTAGAGGTTTTCCAGAAGATAAAAGGATGAAAACCAGTGTCATGTGTCATGAGTATAAACAGAATGAAATTATAATTGTTTGGATTTATAGAAAATAAAAATATTTGGAAAATATTTTTCCTAGAAGAATATATTTGTAAGCACAAGAATACTATAAATATTAACATGAAGTACAGTTAGAAGTATTGAAAATCTGGAGCAACATAAAGCGTTTAGAATCATTTAAACATACAGGGGCTGTCCAGAAAGGATCCAGCCATCTATGTCTGTTTTTCATATTGCATGCCCTGATGCTTTTTGGATAGCCCTTTATATAGATAGATAGATATCTTTATATCTTTATAAAACTATACATATAAAATTAAATGGTACAGATACTTTCCATCTTTTACCAGTGTTACTCTGTATTTAAAGGTAAGTTTCTCAGACTTCTTGGTAGATTGTGATTAGGGAAGATCTTCATTTGAATGTTTTGCTCCAAGTCATCCTAATTTTTACATGAGTAAGAGAGAAAAGCCAGTAATAACTGAACTCAATCACTATAAGAACCTAAGTGTTGGGATTAATTAAAGTTTAAAGTTCTGCAACTACCAGTGACTAAACAATGCCAGAATTTCTCCCTGTAGAGGGCAAATCTGATAATATCTGTTAATATTTGTATTATGTTGTGGGGTTAGGAAAAAGAATACAAGGGTGTTTGCTTATTTTCATGCTGCCCAACCAATGTAGACAGATTGTAACTTAAAGTTTCACTTCTCATGCTAAAAGTAAAGATTTGCTTTTCAAAAGATGTATTAATCTGTCATATGCTTTTCCATGCACAGACCTGCACTAAAGCATGCCCACTTCTGCCTGGTTTATTTGGTGGATTGGTAGATGTATTTAGAGGAGCAGCTTCAACTGCAGTTTTGAAGATACCTTTATCCTGCTATAGGGGAGGGCATCTCTCACAGTAGATTTTTCATGACCTGCTTTAAGGAATGTCAGAAAATCCCTCCTAGGTTTTGACCTGCTTCAGAGTTTTTGTTTGATAAACTCAGTTGAATGGAGGGGTTTTGTTTTAGGTCACAGCTTGCTGTTTCCTAAAAAACATTTTTGCATACTTTGTGGTGTGTTTTTGATTGTGGGAGTGAAGAAAAGAGGGCAGTGTGTATTTGCTTTGTAGTGAGAACTGAATTTGTATTTTTGAGTTATAATTAAATATGAAATTTGTGAAATGAATCCTGAACTGGTAATTACAAATATCACTGATTTTTATTTAACAGGATAAAGGTGACCCAGGTGATGCTACAAATATTTGTCATGTGTGGCACATGAATATAGAAGCCCTTCCGGAATGGATAAACTGCCTAATACAAAAAGTAAGTTTCTTAGTTGCTGAGTAAAATTAGGAATATACAATATTCAGAATGTTTTTGTTTTCATTTTAGAACTATTTTTCTTGGATGCGTTGTTTAGCTAACCATCAGCTGTCCCTACCCCCTTCTCTTTGCACTAATTTTCTCCCTTCTGTCTTTTATGCCTATTTATGTTGTAAAGATACATACACACATAAGTAACATACATTACTTATAAATATACATAAGCATATATGATGTAAATATCTACTTATAAATATATATCTATATATCTAGATATCTATATATATCTATATATATAATATCTATTATATATATAATAGATCTTTACATCATATATGCTTATTATGCATACATACACTATAGCTGAATAATCTTGCTACTTGCCTAGCTCCCCACTAGAATATAACCTCCAAAAAGAGAGGGACTTTTATATTTTTTTCACTACTATATCCTCAGCACCTAGATTAGTATCTGTTGAGTTAATGAACTATCCTGTGTGTATCATTAATATCCATATACCTAGGTAGAGACCCTTAGTGAAATATTATAAGAGCGAGAACTCACTGTGTTAATATGGCACAGTAATTTCTCACAGTCAAAATACTTATCTTAGTACAAGTAACATGATTTTAGAAAAATATAATTCCATCTCCCCACTGAATAGCTTACTTTTTTGTTTAAAAAAGAAAGAGTAACATTTGATAGCTGTCCCTTGCATCCATTTTCACATTGGAATTATTTCCTGGGAAAATGCCAGTGCACAGCTTTTAAATGTCCTGAACTTTAGAAACTATATTAGGACACTGCAGATGGGTCACTATCTCTGTTGAAAAGATAATTTGAAACCAGTTCATTATTAATTTTCAGTCTGAGCATAGAAAATGCACTATCTGTTACATGTAATCTATCTTTTGGTTGTATATAAAAAACCAGGAAGAGCTTTATTCTGTTGGTTGAGTAAAGTTCCCATCCAGGGTGCTTGGTATGCAAGAAGTGTATCAAAACAGACACTTTTCTGTGAGATTTTACTTGCAAATTAAGCTCTGTACACTAATTTGCTTCCTGGTTACATAGTGTATTTCTTTTCATTAGTTCACAGTATATCCATATTCAACCTATTGTTTAAGGACTCTCTTTTGGAATTCTCAGGAGTAATATTTGAATGGACATGATCTGCATTTTGTTATCATTCCAGAACTTCGGTGCTGCTTATCTCTATTTATTGGAAGGCTTGTTTCCATTTGCTGTTCTGTCTACTAATCGGAAAACAGGAAGCTAGCCCTTTCGGTGGCATAAAAACCTTTCATGTGGTCGGCTATTTTTTTTTTTTTTAACTCACATTCTCTTTGGTTACTTCACAATGAAAGCATTGTCTTTATTTTCCTTTATTACCTGTAGGCCCAGTGGACAGTTGGAAAACTGAATTGCCCTTTCTGTGGGGCCCGTTTAGGGGGCTTTAATTTTGTCAGCACTCCAAAATGTGCCTGTGGCCAGCTTGCAGCTGTACATCTCTCCAAGAGCCGGACCGATTATCAGCCAACACAGGCAGACAGACTAATGAGACCATCACTGAAATACTTGTCACATCCTAGAGTTCAGTCAGGTTGTGACAAGGAAACTCTGCTGACAGGTGGTGGCTCCAAAAACAGAAATCACAGGCTTTTAAACATGGCCCAAAATAATAATGACCCTGGAAGATTAACAGAAGCACTCTGCCTGGAGGTGCGATCAACATATTTTGAGATGAAGAATGAAAAACTGCTCTTCAAAGAACCAGAAGCAAAATGCCAGTTTTTTGTTCCCCAGCTTGTGACTGGCAGATGCACGACAAGAGCCTTTCATAGAAAATCACATAGTTTGGATCTGAACATCAGTGAGAAACTGACTTTAATACCCACTTTATATGAAATCCATAGTAAGACCACTGCCTATTCTGGGCTAAATGAAATACAGCCTATTGACCTTTCAGGCTTGCCTTTGCAATCTAGTAAAAATACCTGTTCTTTTCAAAATCCATCTAGTTTTGATCCTAATATGCTGGTGCAAAGATTTTCAGTGGCCCCCCACGAGACACAGACACAAAGAGGAGGAGGATTTCAGTTTGGTCTGGAAGCTTCTTCAGTATACTCTGACCATGCTAACACTAACGACCTCACTTTCCTGATGGACCTGCCCTCAGCTGGCAGGAGCATGCTGGAGGCCTCAGACCAAGAAGAGCACCTCTCCCCTCTGGACTTCCTACGCTCAGCCAGTTTTTCGTTGGGCACCATTAATCCGAGGCTCAATAAGAAAGAAAGGAGCAAGTTGAAGAATCTAAGAAGAAAACAACGAAGGCATGAAAGATGGCGACAGAAGCAGGTAATTTCTGAAAAAAGGGTTTACTAAAATTCTCTTTTGGGATTTGGGGAGTAAAGCTAACTTTGAATACCTATATTTATAAAACCCTGGTTTTAATAGTTTTTGAAATACTCTTTCTAAATGCACTTAATAATCATGCATAATACATTGTAATTATATATGTATAACCCTGTTATAATTGACATGTCTAACCCTATCTCTGTGCTTCACACATGTTTATAAAAAGCCTTTACTGTGTAGTTTTTCCCAATTCTAATATTTTAGAGGGAACATTAATGTCATGATATTGGGACTGGGATTATTTGTCACATACATTTTACATTTATTACATGTTAGAATTGTTTTGCATTGATTTTGTTTTAGGTTAAGTTGAAAAATGTTTCTCTAAATTCAATCAGTGACAAATTCACTTTTCATCACATTTAGCTTACATGGTTATTTCTAAGAAGCCTTATTTAATTGTGTGCCTACATGATCTGGATTAACTGTGCTACACTGTGAAAATTGTCTAAAGGGCAGTTTACTCTTACAGTAATTTTGTAGGAGAGTGTGCTTCTCTGTGTTTTGAACTCCTTCAGTGCCCATGATAATATGTCCTAGGGTGGGATCTGTGAAGGGACAGAACAATAAGTGTTAGGTGCTATGGAAACCAATTGAGCCCAATCGGCAGGCACCATGCTTAGGAAAATTTGGAAGTTTGAGGACTGGAATATTTCTGAATAGACCTTTTTTGCCAGTTGCCTTTATTAGTTGTTTATTCGTTATACATAGTAGACCTCATTAATCAGTGTGTTGCATATTAGCAGTATCCTTGGAACTAAAATATAAAAAGCTACAATTTCATATAATAGTTACTCTTTTAAAAAGTTAAGTGAGCACATTATGTCTTATGATCTTAGCTGTAGACTCAATAAAATAAGATTACCACTTTGAAAAATTACCACTGCTTTAGTCAGATTGTTTTTCATCTTTTACATAGTAAATTACAGTAAATATAATCATAGTAAATTATAATTATAGGTATTTGTTTATTGTATTTTTAACTGATTCCTAACAAGAACATTCTTGTTTGGTTTATCTGCAAGTGATGGTATAATGTAACGTCAAAGCATATATTATAGGAAGTGAAAAAATGAATATATTTTAGAATCATTATAATATACTTCATAGTTTAACTTATTGAAGCTGTAAAATTCAAAATTTGTATTGAGAATTTGGGTTATACCTGGGTAAATTGGAGATGATCATATGTTAAGTGAATGTTCACAAATAATACCTTAAAATGATTAATGTAACATGGAGGACTTCAAAACTATTCTCTAGCAAATAGAAATTGAAGAGAAGTGAGAAAGTTATACTACTTTTTTACTGTAGATATATGTAGATAACATCTTTGTGATTTTAAAAATGTGTTTGATTTTGGGGTAGGTGCTTTGGAAGACCTCAGCTATATTAGTAATTATTTTCTAGCCTGGGGATACCTCTGTTTTTTGCAGTTTAAAGTAAGTGCACAGTTAGGGGTTTTTATTTTTGTCAAAGTAACTTTTATTCATTCACATATATGACTTAATATACTTAGACAATTAATCAGAATTAGTGGTTCTTAGTCAAATCTGTTGTCACAGGTCAGTGTAGGAAAGGAGAAGGCAGGATTCTAGTAGGTTTGATTGGTTGCACAGGAGCTAGATAGAGGCAAACAAAATACCCAATGTCTCTTTAGTAAAGAAAATTTAAGAGTAGATAGAGCAGCTTAGAAATTTTGTGCAAAAATGATGTGAGGACACATCACAGTTAGAGCCAGAAATAATAATTATAATTTTTAAAAGTCTGTCTTGCTAATTCAAGCAAAAAGATAAATCCTAGAGAGTGTTAATATATGAGATATTAATAGTGCAGTTGTACAACTTATTCCATGTTTATTAAAGATCAGGTCTGTTAACCTTTATCAAATGCTTGTTTGAAATATTGTGTCTTTGGTTAATGACTTCCATACACATGCTCCCATTTTCTTTTTTTACTGAGGTAGCTAAGCATATAATACATAAAGTAAGAGTTACAATTACTAATGATACTTACTAAAAAGGCTTAAAATAATTGATTGGGAAATCTGGATTTCTGACTTCCACCTGATGTTTTTGATGAATTTTTGCGTAAGCGAGACATCTTTGATTTATACTACAATAGAAAGTGTTAATGGTGCTAACAAAAATTTATTTAAACTTTTAAATCTTAGGAATTTAGATGAGATTGCTACTAAGGCAGAAAGTACAGCCAATTTTCAGTGTTTTTATTAGGCAAACATTCATTGAAGATCTACTTTGAAGTAAAACATAGCACTCAGTTGCATTTAACTACCATACCTACTGGGTTTTAATCCAACATAATCCTTTTGTGTTTTATTTTTAGTTTTTTAAATTATCATACAATAAAATGTATTCTTGGAATACAGATCTATGATTTAATCATGTATAGGTTCATGCCATGACCACCACAATGGAGATACAGAACAGGTTTATCACCCCCCAAACTTCTTTGTTCTCCACACCTTTATAACCACACCTTTATCCCATTTCTCATTCCTAATCCCTAAAAACCATTGCTCTGTTTCCTGTTACTTTAGTTTTATCTCTTTGATAACGTTATAAAACATATGTAATGTTATAAAAACTAGACTCATATACTATATAACCTTTTCAGATTGGTTTCTTTCACTTGCCAAAATTGTCTATGAGATTGATTCAAGTTGTTGCATGTATCTACAATTTGCTCTTTTTAATTGCTCAGTATGGTTCCATTGTGTAAATGAACCAGTTTTATCCATTCAGCTTTTCAACAACAGGTGGATCATTTCAAGTTTTGGCAATTATGAGTACAACTGTTTTTAATGATCGTGTATGTATTTTTCTGTGAACCTAAATTTTCATTTCTCTAGGGTAAATACCCAGGAATGGGATTGCTGGATCATGTGGTAAGTACATACTTAACTATTTGAGAAACTGTCAAATTGTTTTCCAATATGGCTGTACCATTTTGCATTTTAAGCAACATTGTATAAGAGTTCCATTTGCTGCGTATCCTTGAACACAAGCAGCTGGTATTCTAAATACTTTTTAATGTTAGTCATTCAAATAAATACATAGAAGTATCATTTTATCATTTTAATTTGCATTTCCCTAATGATGTTTAATATTTTTATGTGCTTATTTTCCATTCGTATATATTGTCCAGTGAAGTGTCTATTCAAATCTTTTGTTTACTCTTTAATTGGGTTATTTTCTTCCCATTGAGTTTTGAGAGCTCATACATTTTAGATATAAGTCCTTCACTGGACGTGTGATAATTTTTAAATAGTTTTTCTCAGTGTAAAGCTTTTCATTTTATTCTCTTAACATTTTTTTTCTGCAGAGTAAATGTTTAATTTTGATTTCTAATTTCTCAAACTTTTTATAATCTTGTCTGCCTAACCCCAGGTTATGAACATATTCTCATGTGGTTTTTTTTCCCTAAATTTATTTATTTTTCTTCTAAATCTCCACTGACCTAGCCTATTTATAATTATAAAAATTCTTGTTGGGATTTTGATTGGAATTATATTAAATGTATGGATTAACTTGGAGAGAATTAAAATCTTTATTGACTTTTAAAATCCATGAATATGGTATGTCTTTTCTCTTAGGTTCTGTATTCTTTATGTATTGCAGGATACTATTTGATAATAGTTTTTGAGGATTTTTTTTTTTTTTGCCTCTGTCCATGAAGGATATTGGTCTAAAATATTCTCTATTTTTGTAGTGTATTTGTTTGGTTAACAATACAAGGGCATTGCTGGCCTTTTTTTTTTTTTTTTTTAACCCACCAGACAAAAAGTTTTATTTTTGTGTGCAAATCATACTCTAGTATTTTCTTTTTTTTTTTTTAATTAAATCATAGCTGTGTACATTAATGCAATCATGGGGTACATTGTGTGTTTTATACACAATCTGAAATGCTTTCATCAAAGTGGTCAACATAGCCTTCATGGCATTTTCTTGGTCAACATAGCCTTCACAGCATTTTCTTAATACAGTTATTGTATTAAGACATTTATATTCTCCACCTAGTAAATTTCACATGTACCCTTGTGAGATGCACTGTAGGTGTGGTTCCACCAGCTACTCTTCCTCCACCCATCCTCCTCCCTCTCCTCCCCTTTCTCCTTCTTCTTGGGCTATAATTGGGTTATAGCTTTCATATGAAACCTATAAATTGGTTTCATAGTAGGACTGAGTACATTGGATACTTTTTCTTCCATTCTTGACATACTTTGCTAAGAAGAATATGTTCCAGCTCTATCCATGTAAACATGTAAGAGGTAAAGTCTCCATATAAACTGAGTTAGTTCTCTTCTTTACTATTTTCTGGGAAATGTTGTGGAGAATTAATATTATTTTTACTGAAACATTTAGTAGTAAAATGCCTGGGCCTGGAGATTTCTCTGTTGGGAGTTATAGTTGCATAACTATAAATGCAATTTCTTTAATAATTATAGGACAATTTAGGTTATCTATTTTATATGAGGTAAGTTTTGGTGGTTTGTTTTCAAGGAAGTTGTAAAAATTATGTGCGTAATGTTGTTCATAGAATTCCTTATTTTTTATTCTTTTAATGTCTGTTGGATCTAAAATGATATCCTCTTTTCAGTCTGATAATAGCAAGTTAGTTCTTCTCTCTTTTTCTGTTTTAGTTTTAGAGGGTAATAAATTTTAATGATCTTTTCAAAGAAACACTTTTTGGTTTCTGTTTTTCTGTATTGTTGTACTTTTTTTATAGCTATTGATGTCTGCTTTTATCTTCACTATTTACTTCCTTTGCTTTAAATTTATTTTTGTTTCCTTTTCTAATTTTTTATGATAGAAATTTATATTATATTTGAACTTTTTTTCTCATCTAAACATTTAATGCCATAAATATTCCTTTAGTTATAGCTTTATACTATACATTTTATTGTGTTGTATTTTTATTTTAATTCAGTTGAAACACTTCTACTTTTTACAAGACTTCAGCTGGCCCACTTAGAATCATGTAAAGGCTAAAATATCAGCATTTTGAGGAAATTAATACAACATTTAATTCTGGGGAAAAATATTTTCTTCTCTAGATTGAGAGAAAATAAAGCAACCACTAGTATAAATGCATAATATTTCTAAATAATTCTGCTTAAACAGTGTTTCAGGTGGTGGTTTTATAAACTTTCATCCTATTTAATATGAATAAAAGAAAATGTCTCTTTAAAGACCACATCTCTCACCATGAAAAGATAAGAGTTTGCCTTAGGTTACTATTTTGCATGAAAATTAAAAATAATTGACCATCTGTTATTTTTTGTGACAAAATTACTGAATCATCTACAATAATTCTATTACATTGTTTTCAGTGAGCTAAATGAGTCAAGGCAATTTGTATTATTAACAGTGTGTGACTTAGGCACTGGGGAGGATATAGGCCAATAAATTATACTAAAGACCAACCTATTCAGGTTTGTCTAGAAAAGAGTTATCTTCTGCAAAGGCACTAAGTTTCATTTTTATGGATTTGCACACCGATTATTTTGAAATTCTCAGTTTTTTTAAATGTCCATTTAATCTTTTATCACTTTATTCATCATCTTTAAATCTTATGGTTGTCTGTGTTTCAGAATAATAATAGTAATTTAAATATAAAAGAATTCTCTATTCTTTTCTTCTTCAAGCAGAAACTTAACGGTTTGTAGAAATGAAAAGCTCAACTAATGAATGTGAATATTTGAATTAGAGAATATAGGTTTTTAATGGTTTTATTAAGTGCAGAGTCATAGTCATGAAATGGTAATTTAGGTAAGAAGGTAATAAATTGATAGAACATCATGGTCATCAGTATTTATTGTTCACTCTACTTTGTGTCATGTTACTGTTGTAGTGTAAGTTTGCCATTCTCTTCATTTTATGAGTGCAAAAATATCTAGATCTTGCTCTATTGGTTGATACTACTAATTTGCCTCAGCTTTCCCGGAGGTCACCATTTAGTAGGATGATAAGACAAAAATATGCAGTCAGTTTAAATAAACATGACTGAATAATTTGCCTTCCAGCTACTTTGATTAATTATAGAATATAGATAATGGAGTAGGTATTAAGCAAAATTGCATAGAATTGATAAGACCTTTAATTATATAGATCTAAATTTTCTAATGCTTTTCCTGAAGTGATGGTACAAGCCTGTTTCTTTTTTATCTGGCAGACTTTTCTAGGATTGATCCTGGTCCATATAAAACTGTGGGACCTGCAGGCTCCTTTCTGACTCCACTTACTTCTTGGAACTTGATTAGAGTTTATCAAGTTCATAAACCCTCATGTGTAGAGTTTATGATTCTCTTGCTCTAGTCAAGATGATTTCTAGACACAGTTTCAGCGTCTCTCGGCCAGCCCTCTTGATGCTTACTTCTCAATAGCATGATGTTTCTCAAGTCTCTACATAGTCACAGGACACAGTTGTTTTAAAAGACAGGCAGATCTGAGCTTCAGTCCTAATTCTACTTTTTCTTTCCTTTTTTTTTTTTATTAGATCATAGCTGTGTACATTGATACTGTCATGGGGTTCAGTGTGCTATTTTTACATAGAATTTGAAATATTCTTATCAAACTGGTTAACATAGCCTTCATATCATTTTCTTAGTTATTGTGTTAAGACATTTATATTCTTCATGTAGAAAGATTCACATGTACCCTTAAAAGATAAACCATAGACGTGATCCCACCAATCACCCTCCCTCCACCCATCCTTCCCCCTCCCTTCTCCTCCCTTTCCCCTTCCCCCATATTCTTGAGCTATAATTGGGTTATAGCTTCCCTATGAAAGCTACAAACTAGTTTCATAGTAAAGATTATTGTTAGGTATCTTATAAAATGGCCCTCAACTGGTATTTGTTTGTTGTTTTCCCCGTGATTAAACTAGGGTTATTGGTTGTGTCATGGATTCTCAAAACCACCCCACATTCAGTGATTCACTGAGAGGACTCATATAAATCAGCATGTAGTCATACTCCCAGCTATGTTTTATTACAGCAAAAGGATGCAAACCCACATCAGCAAAAGGAAAAGGTACATGGAGCGAAATCTGGGGGAAATAAATTAGAAGCTTCCAAGAATTTTCTCTCTTTGGGGTTACATAGAATGTGCTTGATTCCCCAGCAATATGCTCTGACTGCAAAGGTGAAATGCTGTCGACTAGGGAAGTGCACTATAGACCTAGTGCCTAAGGTTTGTATTGGGGGCTGGTCACATAGGCACCCTCATCTGCGGCACGTACCAAAATTTTAGGCCCTTTGAAGGAAAACACTGGTACTCAGCTTAAACCACATTGTACAAAAAGTTTAGGCACAGTGAAAGCCTCTTATCAATTAGGGTTGTAGAAACCCTCCTAAAATTCAGGTTTCTGATGCCAGCTCAGGGCTAACTTTGTAAGTGAAGACAGGCCTGCTATATTAAGTCATGTCTGCACATGGATTTTTAGAAGAAAGACCACAGAGATAAAATGCCATTTGAGATAAAATGCCATTCTGATCACACTGTAAGAATATACTATGTATATTGTCAACATTGTGTATTAGTGTTGATGTTAATTCCAGACCGTTTTGTAACAGAAAAGAAGAATAACAATCGTCACTTACATTCTTCTCAGTAAAGTATCCCAAGAATGGAAAAATAAATATCCAATGTACTCCACACTAATATGAAACCAATATATAAACAATTACATGCTCATGTGAATAAAACACAAATAAGTCTAGTACGAGGAGGACGATTGGCAGAAGGAGGGAGGGCATGAGGCAGGATCTCACTTAATGTGCACATTGTGAGGGTGTATAATGCCCCCTGAGTGAGGGGCTATTTTACAACTGGAACTTTACTCTGGAAGTGAGAACAAGTTACCTAAAAATTTGTACCCTCATAT